ACATGGCAGGGGCTGGTGTGTTGCTGACACAATTCCTTAGGTAACATTTTACTGTGGATGGTGGTACTGGTGAATACTCTTTGGATACGAGTAACTCAAATCAACTGAAGGTAGCTGAAGAGAAAAGGGGGTATTATAGGGCCATTGGGAGTGTCAGGAATTCAGCTAGGCCTTAGGAAGGGCCTGGAACCCCGAAGTGGGAGGCTTATCCAGACCACCCCTCCTCCCATCTCTCATGTCTTCATTTCTTTCTGTCCTCTTCTTCCTCCCTCCCTTCCTTGGATCCAGGAATCAGGGAGATTCCAATTTTAATCTTGGCTCCACCATGCCTGGCTCTGTGACACAGAAAATATTGCTTAATTCTTAAAATTTTTAATTCTTCAAAATGTACTAGGGCTTTTCTGTGACCTAGTAAACATGCTCTCTTTGTAAACGTTCCACTGGTAATGGAAAAAACAGGCGTGTTTTCCTTTTGTTGGAGAGAGTTGAGCTTCTTCAATTTGTCTATACAGTGGGGCCTTGACTTACAAGTTTAATTCGTTCCGAGATCAAGCTCATTAAGGAGCTCATTAACTCAAATTACTCTATCAACTGAATGCAAAAAATTGGCTGAGAGACAGCTGGTATCTCAAAAAACTTGTTAGTCGGGACACTCGTAAGTCAAGGCCCCACTGTACACTCTTTTTTTTAAAAATATATTTTATTGATTTTTTACAGAGAGGAAGGGAGAGAGAGAGTCAGAAACATCGATGAGAGAGAAACATCGATCAGCTGCCTCCGGCACATCTCCCACTAGGAATGTGCCCGCAACCCAGGTACATGCCCTTGACCGGAATCGAACCCGGGACCCTTCAGTCCGCAGGCCGACGCTCCATCCACTGAGCCAAACCGGTTTCGGCCCACTGTACACTCTTTTGCCTGAATTTTTCATCTGCGTTAAGGTCTCCCACTATGCGTGTGGATTTAACCATTTCTCCTTGAAAGTCTAGCTTCTCGTGTCACACACATACTGAGGCTGTGTTCGTCTTCTACTTTACAGTCATGAAGGTGGAGGAGGAGGAGGCTGGGGTAGGGAAGCTGGACCCTGCTAACTACAGGAGGCCATGTCAGGACCAGGAAGGTAAGGTCACCTTGAGAACTTAATGCAGATCCCAGGAGGGTCTGAGAATCCCTTGAATGTTCTTATAACCACCCTTCCAGCTGGGGAATCTGCAGAGCTGGTCCCTTTTCCTGACTCACCCACAATGTCTCTTCTCGATCCTGTGGAGCCAGCGTTCCCTGTGTCTTAAAGGGACTACGTGGTCAGGCTGGAACAGGAAAGTGGCACTTTGCTTGTATGGATTAGGGCACAAAATGAAACTCACCTAATTTTACAAGATCTACAAACCATACTAAATGCCAAATATCAACCTTTTATAGATTCTAAAAATGGCAGTTCAGCTAAACCAGTGCAAGTATTGAGTGTTGAGTGGAGGTATTTCTGTTGCTGACTCAGAGGCCCCAAGGATCCTACACTCAGAGAGGCAGCCACAGGGCTTATAAGAGGCAACCAGACAGGCTGTGGCCCCACGTGGAGGCAAAGGCGGATCTCGCTGCCCAGCTGGAAGCTTGCTGAGCTGCAGACTGTGCAGAGACACTCTGAGGCTGCCACGGGAGAAGAATGCAGTGAGGAGTTCCTGGGAGAACTTGGCATTGCCCCGAGCAAACTGCAACTGTTCGCCGTGGGAGAAGAGGTCCCACAGAGCAAAGAAGGAAGAGGGCTAGCCATTCCCCACGGTTCACCAGCTTAATGGCCATGCTCTGATGATGGGAGCCAAAAAAAAGACACTGAAAAAGAAACAAACATGGCCCTCGCTGGTTTGGCTCAGTGGATAGAGCGTTGGCCTGTGGATCGAAAGGTCCCAGGTTCGATTCCAGTCAAGGGCATGTACCTTGGTTGCAGGCTCCTCCCTGGCCCGGGCCCTGGTCAGGGGACCTACAGGAGGCAACCAATCGATGTGTTTCTCTCACATTGATATTTCTCTCTGTTTTTCCTTCTCCCACTCTCTAAAATCAATGGAAACCTTGGGTGAGGATTAAAAAAATAAAGATCATGAAGGAAAATATTTAAAAAGCACACAAACGAACATGGAACAAGGTAGATGCAGAGTGGAATGTGAACTATGTCCCTGACAACCATCTCCCCTCATTTCTTTAATAAGTTCCTTTACGTATCTAGCCCCTTACAATTTCATAATCATGTTCCCATATACCATGTCATTCTATCTTCTGAAAAACCTTGCCCAGCCAGTAAAGAAAGGACTTTGTATTCCTCCATAACAGATGAGGACACCGAGTCCCAGAGAGGAAGATGTCCATGACCACAGACAAGTGAAGGACGAGCCAGGGAGCCTGCAGGGCAGTGACTCTCCCAGGCTCAGCTTGATGCCACGTCTGTGTGATGTCTGCACTCAGCATGTGCATCCCGCACGTGCATTTCAGGAGTCTGAGCCCAGAGGCAGTCCTCCCTTCCGTGAAAAAATATCAAGTCAGTGTAGATCTGGAAAAGTCAAAAGTTCTTCCTCCAAGATCAGGAATAGGATAAGGATGCCCACTCTTACCACTCTTATTAACACAGCACAGTAAGTCCTAGCCAGAGCAATTAGGCAAAAATAAAATACGTAGCCCTGACCAGTTTGGCTCAGTGGATGGAGCATCGGCCTGCGGACTCAAGGGTCCCTGGTTCGATTCCAGTCAAGGGCATGTACATTGGTTGCGGGCACATCCCCAGTAGGGAGTGTGCGGGAGGCAGCTGGTCGATGTTTCTCTCTCATTGATGTTTCTAACTCTCTGTCCCTCTCCATTCCTCTCTGTAAAAAATCAATAAAATATATTTTTTTAAAAATAAAATAAAATACGTAAAAAGCATACAAATTGGAAAAGAAATGCAACTGTCTCCATTTGCAGATGACATGGTCTCATATATAGAAAACTCTAAAGACTCCACCAAAAACCTGTTAGAACTAATAAACAAATTCAGTGAAGTTGCAAAGTGCAAAACTCAGCATAGGAAAGTCTGTTGCATTTCTGTGCACTAATAAACTATGAGAAAGAAAACAATCCCATTTACAACAAATAGGACAAACTACCTAGGAATAAAAAAATTTAACAAAAAAAAATTAACCAAAGAGGTGAAAGACATGTACACCAAAAACACTAAGATATTGATAAAAGAAACTGAAGTAGACACAAATAAATGAAAAGGTAGATATCTTATGCTCATGGTTTGGAAGAATCAATATTGTTAAAGTGTCTAAACTACCCAAAGCCATCTACAGATTCAATGTAATCCTTATCAAAATTCCAATGGCACTTTTCACAGAAATAGAACAAATAATTCAAAAATTTGTAGGGAACCACAAAAGATTCCAAATTGTCGAAGTAATCTTGAGAAAGAAGAACAAAATTGGAGGCATCCTGTGTCCTGATTTCAAACTATATTACCAAGCCATAGTAACCAAGACAGTATAGTATTTGCATAAAAATATATATCAATGGAACAGAGCACGTATGTCCAACAACATACATCGGGGAAAGCATAGTCTCTCTAGTAAATGGTGATGTGACAGTCACATGTAAAAGAACAAACTGGATCACTATCATACACAAAACATGAAAATCAACTCAAAATAGATAAAAGACTTGAATATAAGACCTGAAACCATAAACTCACAGAAGAAAATATTGGGGGTACCCTCCTTGACATTGATCTTGGCAACAATTTATTTTTTTGGATTTGACACCCAAAGCAAAGACAACAAAAACAGAAGTAAACAAGTGGGACTATATCAAACTCAAAAGCTTCTATACAGCAAAGGAAACAATCAACAAAAATGAAAAGGCAACTACAGAATGAGAGAAAATATTTGCAAATCACCTCTTTTATAATGTGTTAACATCCAAATACTAATATACAAATAACTCATACAACTTAATAGCAACGCCCCCTCCAAACTATTCAATTAAAAAATGGGCAGAGGAGCTAAATAGATACCTTTCCAAAGAAGATATTCAATGGCTAACAGGTACTTAAAAAGGTGCTAAACCTCACTAATCATCAGGGAAATGCAAATCAAAATCACAATGTAATATCACCTCACACCTGTTAGAATGAGTATTATAAAAAAGACAACAGATAACCAACGTTGACGGAGATGTGGAGAAAAGGGAACCCTTGTACACTGTTGGTTGAAATGTAAGTTGGTACAGCCACTATGGAAACCAGTATGGAAGTTCCTCAAAAAATTAAAAATTCAACTATCATATGATTCAGCAATCCCACAACTGGGTATATACTGTGGTATCTGAAGGAAACAAAATCACTATCTCGAAGAGATGCTTGCACTGCCATGTTCACGGCAGCGTTACTCACAATAGCGAAGATTC